AAGTTTTAAGACTTTATTAACATAGAAGTATAAAAACTTCTTGTGAACGTCTTTTTTGTGTGTGGTCAGAGGATCAGCGGAAAAAGTTTTTTTTTAAATCATGATTATTATTATTAAGATAAACTTAAGATATCTTATATAATTGATATAAATAGATTTTAAAAAGAAAAATGAGAATAAAAGCCAATGTTCTTTATTAGAAACATCAAAATTTTTAAATTATTAATTATTAAAAACTATCTATAATACTGTAGTTTTCTATTGCTTAAATTATTAAATTATAATATTTTTTTTAATTTTGTCTCAATTAAAGTAAAAAATTATAAATTTTGTTTCTTAAAAAAATAACACAAATAATTTGTTAAATTATATATATTAAATATTTTAGGGACTTATTATTAATATAAATATTTATTAAACTAATTAAATTATATAATAATATATAAAAAAAATTATAAAAAAATTAGTTATAAAGGAAAAAAAATAAAATAACTAAATAATAATAATAAAATAAAAATAAAATAAAGAAAATAGTATAAGTATTTTATAAAAAAAAAAAATTAAAAAATAAAAGATTCTAGACTTTGCTTTATATTTTTTGTATTTTCTCTATTATAGTTTTAATACTTATAAAAATTATTAATTAAACTAATAATTAACAAATCTAAATTTCTAATTAATTAATTGTTTACAATTTATTATACTATAAATTTTAGGATTAATTCAAAATAGATAAAATTTTATAAAAAATTAAAAATCTTGCTATATATTGAAAAAGAAACCATCATTTATTTTAAAAATACCAATATATAATCTTATTGCTAGTTAAAACAAGTTTTGTTAAAGAAAAGTAAAGAAGATTTATTGCTTGTAAGATATAAAGTTTTGAAGAAACACATTTTTAGAAATAGTAATTGGAGAATTAATAAGTAGTATATTAATCAGACCTGTGAGTCGATAGCACAGTGGTAATGCTCCCAGGTCACAATCACAAGGTCCAGAGTTCAATACCACATGAGACCAAGTGAAAATTAAGCCACAAGGTAGTACGAAGATCTCATCCCCCCATGATGATGATCATGTACTCCATAAGGCAATAAGGAGAAACCGTTCGCTCACCATGCCTATAGTAAGAATGACAAAAATCAACACAAGGTTCTATATAAGGTTAGCATAAGTGATACGAGCCCTCCATACACAACCGATCTTGGGTACCGAACAGGAATGCAGAAAAAAGGACCCCACCTGCTTATCGCGGCTATAATAAGACAAGATACACACAAGGTTCCATGACATAGCCAAAAATAAGTGGTACAAAAGGTCCCAAGTAAAACGAACTGATCATTCCAAATTGGGAAGAAGAAGGACCAGATCACTCTCAGAATTATCAAGACATGCCCATAAAAGACACAAGACAGGCCCCCCGACAATGACAATGGAGGGATTGTTGTCCTTCACACCAAACCAAGCCCCATCAAGTAACACGACAGGTCCCGCACAAAACAAGCCCCAGGAAAAAAACTTAAAGCACTAACGGAACCAATAGAATTCTGTATAAGAAATCTTCAACACTGGTGGTGCTGAGTATCTTAGGTGAATTCCTGACACATTAGTTTTCCTGGCAACAGGGATAGCAACAGGTCGTCTGGTGGATCACGGTCCTAGGAAGTGCCACTTTTGAGTATAAAAGGTAATAATTTGGTGAGGAGCATTTCATTAAATTCGAAGGATAAGTCTCCTCAAAACCTTAGCTGAGTTAGAATTAAGAAACAGTCCTATACTAGACAGTCATATAGTTACCCCATCCTGGTTAGGTGAGACGTAAATAGATGCCCCTTGTACTATTCGTTGATCAGTAAATCTTTAGACAGTACGGGTAATTACACATCCCGGTTGTCTTAGGACCGATCTTGACTCTAATAAAGTTTCAGAACTGGCGTAGGAATGAGCTAACACTTTAAAAAAAAAAAAAAAAAAAAAAGTAGTATATTAATCAAATTAATATATTTTACTCAAAAAATATATAATAAAAAAATGAATTCAAAAATAAAAAAAAAATTTTTTTTATATATTTAATTACAGTATTAAGAATTTTCATTATTGTTAAAATTATTGTTAGAAATTTTGACTTTTGATATTATCAAAAAATTATATAATTTTTTTATATTATTAAGTTGAAATTTTTTATATAAATTTTTGCTTAAATTTGGCAACATTTTTTTGTAATTAAATTTGAAGCCACTGGATATACTAATTTGATTGATAATTAATTCTTTTTTTCGAAATATCTTTGATAATACCTTCTTTTTATATACAGTAGTACCTCAGATAGAATTTTTGAATAAGACCGGGGGGTCTTATAGACAAAATTATATGGTAGGGTCAAATTTATAATTTAAATAATTATTTAAAAAAAAACAATTTTATTGACCAAAACTTATTAATATTTCAAGAAAAAAAATATAAGCATATACAGTATATATACTGTACATAGATATAGATATGCAATATATAGATCTATTTTTTATTGAAAAAGTTCTAACATTTCTTGCCAAAAATATAAAATCGAAATTTGATGTAGATGTAATGATTACACCATTAAATGCTAAATCTACTTTGATCACTTTTCAAGTCAGTCAGTAAATCCCAACACCCCATGAAAGAATTTTCTCCTCCCAAAGATTCAAATATACACTTGACTCTGCGATGAGAAAGGCTCACGTTATGTCTACACATTATGAACCTCGGAGGTAAAAAGAAATCGCAAACATTAGCTATTGGTTTATTAATCTAAATTTTCAATATACACGTTAATTACAAATTATCTTCCTTTCTAAAAACCATCGAGAGATTTTTTTCATTGATTCTTATATGGCAAATAATACAAAGTGGCAAGAGGCACAAACACATAAATATGGATAATATTTAAAAATTTAAAAAAAAACAGAAAGAAAGAAGGAAAGAAGGAAGGAAGGAAAGAAGGAAAGTTTCTACATTATCAAAATGTGGAAATCAATGGTGTCGTGATCCATCGCTACGTTTCGCCTGACACTGTACTAAACCTCCAAGAATTTCACAAATATTTCTTGATGACGTCCCTGTGAGAATTTCCGAATCCAACGCAATGTCTAAACTCCATGACCTTCAACTTTGAAGCGTTGCTCACGCATCTTTCAACAAATTTTTTAAAGCACTCTAAGGTGATCAACCAATTCATCCAGATTTTAATAACTCTAAGAGTTTTTGGTATGTTTTCACCTAATTCGCCCAGGAAGTCGCTCGCATGAAATAACTCCAACTCGGGCGGCGAATATTCCGGCCAAGGATTGTCCTCGTTTTCGAATATAAGTTTCCCATCGTAAATATGGAAATATTCGAGATTTTTACATCCCCTCAAAAGCTCAATGATGCTGTTATTAATTTGCTGCTTCCTGATTGACGCCACAAATTTTGTAAGATTCTTACAATAAGTTTTGCACCAATTTGCTATATCATCAAACCCCTCAATGGTGTGATCTTGTAATTCGATTCCGGTAAGGCTGTTGCCAGATTTTTTCAGCAGCAGGTGTAAAACTTCAGGATTCACCCTTGTTCTGTAAACAGATATCTGACGAAGATTAGCAAACGCCGAATGCTCGGTAACTTCTTTGACATCGCCGTCAAAATTTCTACACTTGTAAATCCTCAAGTGACGTAAATTTCGAAATTTGGATAATTGAGAAAGTAAGAAAGTGTTGGTAGGATCAAAGACAATCTCATTGAACTCAATAGTTTGCATGGAGTCGACATGTCGCGATGAAACCAAGTTGTCCCAAAGATTTTGGAATAAAACGGTGAAAGGAATACAAATTTTAATATCCGTCAAGCTATCCTGAGCTTTGATAAGGGTGACTATGTCTTCGACGGTCTTATCTTTGACTCCAAACTCCTTTAGGCTTACCCTTAAATCCTGAACACTATTGGTGATAGAGGTGAGAGTTTTAAACTGATTGGGGAAATACTCTTTGTTAAATCTGAAACTCTTGATCTGTGATAGAGATTTAATGGATTCTTTGAGATCAAAGATGTTGAACCAATTTGCGTATTTTATGTTAAAGCGATCGATCCTTGAAGCATGACAGAGGAAATATTCACACAAGGCTTTACATAGTTGTGTAATTTTCTCCAATTCGACTAAGACTTGCTCCGTGTCCTGACTACTAATCGAGCCACACCAATGTTCAACGCTTCCATAAATTGAATTCAGGTTGATATTACGCAAGTATACAGGATAATTGAAGAACGTCGGTTGTTTAATTTTTGGAGAAATTCCGAGACTTCTGTGTATCTCTGGAGAAAGAAACGAGACATAGGTGTTTACTAAGGGTGTAAGTCGAAATGGTTCCCGTAGTTTTTTACAGGACTTGAACGGATCTCGCCATAATTCCGGAATTGTGGCCACACACCAGTGTTTGTTGACGAGAGCACATGAATATAAGGTTTTCGAATCTTGGAAAGAGAAATGGCAAAAGATACTTTGTAGGCAAGGGTGTGGTAGGAAGGCTGCCATTTCTGTGGGTAATATCGAAAAAAAGGTCGGAGGTTTATTTAAATTACAAAATAAGGCTAAATTAACATCGCCTGTTGGGAAAATCGGAAGATGGGTCACGTGATCCGATGAAATAATACGTATGCATGCATGCCAGAATTTCCGGTGTTCTTTCTGCATGAAGTTTAAACATTGGAGTAAACAATTACATCGCTATTACGTTCAGACCAAACCTGAAAATCTTTGAAACGTACACGTGTTTTAATGGAACTTTTGTGGCAATGCCAAGTGAATGAAACAAACTCCGCATGTTGTGTTAATAGACGAGCGAAAGCCGTTTAATTATAGTTCGTATAAGAAATTCGTACGCACGTGTAGTGTGCAATCGTGCGAATATGTTTCCCCACATTTCCATTCGGGTTTGAAAGTATGCAGGCACCGCAAAGGCTGCCACAGTAGACTCAATGCCAATACAAATTGGTTCCCACAAAGATCGTTTATGTAAGGGCAAAAAGGTGAGATTGGAAATTATTTGACACCGTGGCTCGCGTTGACGGAAATAATTGTGTCACCTCATGTAGATTACTCTAGTAATCTTAACAATGAACACTTTGTGATTCGAACTTGTGCAGCACAGGCAGTCAATTATACCGGCACCTCTTCCCCAGTGTCGGTTCATAAACCCGAGGAGTAGGAACAACATACTGTATAATAATATTGCGTTCAATGATTATCACTGGGATTTCGGTTTTTTCACCCTTACGCGAACTGACCTAATCAATAACATACAGCATATGGGAATAAGTTGTTCGAAAATGTTTCTCGTGTACTTTATTTCAAAAAAATATATATATATACTGTATATATAATTAAATTAAGTTACTGCTAGTATGTATGGTATGATGATGAGATAAAACAAATTGATATTGGAAGTTGGGATGTGTAAATAAGATACATTGTGTAAGGTTAGGCGAAGCGGGTCATTAAAAGCACATAAATTTGGTCTTCTTTGCCGTCGTCAATCTCTCTATCTCGTTTTCCAGAGCAATTATTGACATCTCCGATTTTTCTTTGACCTCCTCCAAAGCTCTTTCCATCTCCTGTTTCGTAGCTAATATTTCGGACTTTTTATTTTTCACTTCTTCCTTGGCTTCCTCCAACCGAACCTTCAGATTCTCTTTAGATTTTCGTTCTTCTTCCAATGCTCTCTCCATCCTCTGTTTAGTGTGATACATTGACGCTCTTGTGTCCTCCACTTCTTTGTGGGCTTCTTCTAGCTGTGATTTCAAACCTTTAATTTGTTCTACCAGATCGCCTTCTTGGCTTTGAAGCGCGGCTATTTTTTCGTTCAGGTTGTTCTCACTTTCGTTGAGGGTGAGCTCCAAGGTATCAATGAGAGACTGATTTTGCAGGTTATCTTCTTCAGATTTGGAAAGTTTCTTGCGCAATTCCTCGATGGTCAATAAAAGCTCTGAATTTTGACGTTCCGAATTAGAAACTTTACGTTTCGAGCTACCATCGGAAGATTTCACCTCAGGTTGGGGTCCTCTGTTCAAATTCTCAATCTTCTTTTCTAATTCTGAAATAATGGCTTCGCGCATTTCGATTTCCTCTGCCAAATTCTTCTTTTCCTTGATGTTATTATTCTTTTGTGCCTCAAATTTCCTTTCCAGCTTACGATACTCGTGATCCTTTTCCTCCAATAGCTTTCGAAGTTCTCGGAGGGATTTATTTAAATTCGCGATCTTACTCTCACTCTGCTCTAACTTCCTTTCGGTAGAATCGATTCGACTTGTGACATCATTAGCACTGTCGCCGGTTCTTACTTTTCCCGAGTCACCCTTGAATTCATCAACTGTTTCGTGGTCTTTCTTGTGCGAATTTCTTTCAGATTCAAGTTTAGCTTCGAGGGCCGTTATGTAACTCTCGGTGGTTTCTTCCTTCTCCTTAAGCTTGGAAATTTCGTTCTTGAGTTCATTTATGATATGCACATTTTGATTATTGAATTTTTCTGCTTCTTGCAGCTTGTCTTCTTGTAAACGCGCGGTGTTCTCGGAATGAGCTAGGGCGGCGCGAGCATGTGAAAGTTGATTCTCGAGAACTGAAAGTGATTTTTCGTACTCCTTGATCACCGGGTCAAGTCCTTTCTGCAAGAAGGTCATGGGATCTTCACGATTCTCGTCACCTATTTTTTTGGAATCTTGCAAAATTCTCGGCAGGATTGCCTTCTCATTCGGCAAAGGATTCTGATCGTTCGTCAAAATACTTGCAAGTATGGAAGATCGGCGTCTCTGTCTTTCGGTAATCGGGGAACTTCCCTTTGTTTCGGACGCTTTGTTCGTCTCCTCATTCTCTTTTAATGTATCCACTTCGGATTTAAGCTTTAACACGAGATCTTGTAAATGCTCCACGTTCTGCCAACCAACTTCTTGATGCATTGCGACCCTACACTTGCTATTACGAGCTTGGGTGGACAGTTCTAAGGTGTCGATGGTCTCACTAATCTGAAAGGCCGCTGGAGAAACGCATGAGATCACCAATACGCTGGCATTTCCACCAAGATATTCCTTCAATATTTGTGGAAAATTTTGTTCGATATCACTGGTTTGAGGTGCTTCCGCTGCTTTGCGCATTCCCAAACTGCATATCATGTTATCTATTGGCAGAATCATGGACTTGGGAATGTCCGGGTCCTGTGAGATGTAGAAAGAATATAGTCCGCGTGAGTGAAAATTTCAACGTGAAGGTATTTTATTTGACGATTAAAAAGGGGACCAGATAATAATCTCTTCAAACCGACCACATTTCTCCAAGACAGATCCACGAAATTTAATTTGCTTGTAATGACAACCCAATTGCCTTCATACATTTTACTTGTCTCCGAGGTCCCAGGTACCTGTCTGTTTAGAGTGGCCAACGTTGTGCTTGGAGAAAGAGTACGCGAATTTGCGAGACTCCCATTCACCGGGATGAATTTTTGTTGGGATAACGTGACCGAGAAAATTGTGTGCCTATGCGAGAAACGTTTATTCTTTGATGAGCCGACCTGTTGATTTAAAATTCCACGTGACAAAGTACTGTACATAACCACGTCACGAGAGGTTCGGTGAATGATACTGTTTCAGAAAGCACATACAATGATAATAACATTGGTAATGGGTCTCACCCAATCACTTCCTGCAAACTATTCACTTTGATTTCTTGCAAATCACTCCAAATTATTTGTCCGTTTGAATCGTCCCGAATCAGAACCTGCGGCTTAGCTTTATTGTCATCTTCGTTAAGGAGGTCGATGATTTTTCCGTCATTTACTTCCACGAATGAAATTCGCATTACATACTTTCGTTTTCTGTATTGCGCGGAGTTGATATAGGAAACCAAGGTGGCCATGGACCGAGGGATTATACCTCTCGATTCACGCGTGTAAGAGATTCCATCAGAGATACCCAGTGTATGGGATTTTCCTGATAAAGAATGACCGTACGCCAAAATCGTCACGTTATAACCTAATAATAGTTGAGAAGAATCAATTGCATGCTCGCTGGTGTGAGTATCACGTGACAAAACGATATGAAAATACCTTCTATGAACCTATTGATCAGATTCATCACAGAACGATCGTATAATTCCTTTTGGGAGACCTCAGGAGAGAACACACTATCAAAGGTAAAGGTCCTCTTCTTGTCCCCCTGAAGCACAACTTGATTTGGAGCAAAAGGAGTAGTGGATAAAACATTTTTCTGCAATCTAGGAGGCACCGACACCAAATCTTCGGCCGACAACGACCTTATGCGAAGTGCTAGAAATTAAATTTTTAGATACTTAATATTGCAATATTCGGCGAAAAACATGCTAAACAGACGAAAAAAATGTCAAACTCTTTACCAATTTGTACATTAGAATTCTCCGTATCAACCATCGTTTTGTTGATTAACTTGAAAAGGGAAAGAGTGGACAAAAGGAGGAAATGTGAAAATGGTCTTATGTAAGGAGTAATAAATCCGCCAAATACGAAATCTAACGTGTATGTTAGAAGGTCTATTAAAACACGAAATATTACTCGGGTGCTTGCCCGCACATCAACAAACCAAGAAGTATCCAAGGTGTTGATCTGTTGATGAGTGGTGTAATTAATGATGGTTCGTTGATCTTGCGTCAAAGGAAGAATAAAGATGGGGGGAATTCAGGGAAACATGTGTTATTATGAAAAGGAAAGAAAAGAAATCTATATCGCTCAAATTGGTAAAAAGAATTTTTTTTTTTTTTATTAGGGATCTGTAAAGAATGACGATGAACGTAAGATATCTTATTTACTTATTAAAATGGTTGAGGTGGTGGAGGCGATGGTAGAGAGGAGTGGAGGAGGTGAGAATCTATGGGTAGTGGGCGGTATGTATGAATAAAATTAATATTATCCTAGAGGTACGCGTATGCATATAATAAGTTGACCTAAAAATTGATTTGTGATATTATTCAGATTAAAGTAATTTCTACCTGTGTGCGACAAACTTTAAACACACGCACGTACAGCACATATTAAATGCATTTATCCTTTCACACATGCACCGTACTTCTCTGCGTGATTGACAGAAGGACAAATTTGCAAATTAACCAATAGACACAGTCAAATTTGAAATTTCCTAAATTATCCAACATCTAGACGCTGATGAATTCGTTTTTTTTTTTTTGCGCAGTCTATGGTCATGAAACCTGGAATAATACGACTCTAATTTGATAGTGCGTCATTTCAATTTTGCGGTTCATAAATCATAATAATAATTCACACCTTTAGATGCATCGAAGCAGACTTTCTCACGACGAAGACAAAGGGTGGTCACATGATCGCATGAACCGTGTTTACGAGTACGCTTAACGTTAATTTGAAACACTAAGGGGAATGGTGTTAAAGATTAATCTGCAAGTCCGATGGATAATAAACCTTGTACGTGCACTTTCAAATGTTAATGAATGCTATTATGAAAATTGGCGCTAAATCAGGTGTGGCTAAATCTTATTTCAATCAAAGTATGGCTGACTGTTACCTTTTCTTTTCTCCCTTACATCGCCTCAGCCTTTCCAAGACGTCACCAGCCTTTAGAGGATCGACGGTCATTTCTTTTTCATCACACGTTTACTTTGTTAGATTTAAACATTTTAATATTTGGTACAATTTCTGACACAATTTATTTGCACAAAGGTCATAAATACAAATAGTTTACCATTGTTATTCTATAGGAAAAAGTTCGGGCAATTAATTTATTTATTTACAAATAATAATTGGTTCTTTTATTTATTTGTTTCCTGGTTTCAAAATTACGCTATTTTTTTTTTTTTTTTATGCGTAAAATATTGTTTATTATATATACTACATATAAATTATTATTTTTTATATCGCAGAGAAAATATTTATAAGGAACTGGGATGAAAATTTATTTCACAGTGACTTCTTTTCATATTTTATTTTAATTGTTGTTTATAAGTAAAAAACAGTATTATAAGTTTATTATGGCAAAAACATAATAGTAATAATTTCGTATTAAATTTTACTTATAATTGTTTTATATTTTATAATAATAGTTTATTTATTTAGGCATTTAATAGATTGGTATTAATAAATCAACAAACATTATCTTTTATCTTAATTAAAATAGTTAGTAACAACTATATTCTTTAAAAAATATTTTAATAAAAAAAATTAAATTTAATCATTGTCAAAACAAGGTTTTATTGTTCTTTTAAAAAATTAATCATAATATGTTTGTTTATCTTATTTACATTGAATTTAGAAATTATAAATATATCGTTAAATTTCAACAAGATATAAAAAATATGTCAAAATAATCTATAGTAAAGAACTGTAATTAAATAATAAACAAAAGAAAATTTTATTATTATTATTTTTTTAACTTTTTTATCTTTACCTGTCACTTTACTTCTGCTATCAAGTATTTTGCTTATAAGTTTAATATACTTTTATACTTAGACTAACTTGAAATATTTATACTTTTTATTATTTTTATATTTAAAAATAGTTTATTTTATTTATTTTTTATCAAAAATATATTTTCAATTAATTATAAAGTTAAAACTCTTATAATTGATTATATTAATTGCACCATCTATTGTTTTTTGCTACAATCTACTTTATTTAATATTCAATTTATTACTTTTTCTAACTATATATTGATATATTGTTTTCAAAAACCTATTATAAAAACTTGTTCTTTAATTAAAATTTCAAATTATATTATTATTTCTACTATATATACAGTTAAATTAATATATTAAATATACTAATATATTATTACCATTATACTATATTTTTATTTTAAAAATCCTAATATAAGAAATACAATATATACCATGCTGACCTGACTATGAATTAAAAAAAAAAATACAATATACATTATTAAAAAATAAAAATAATTTGAAGCTAATAATTAATATTTCAAAAAGAAAAAAAGTTAAAACTAAAAATTTTTTATCTAATTAATTTGTTAAGTTGTTTTTAATAGAAAATTTTAAATTAATTCTTGTAAATTAATTATCATAAAAGTATAACTAGATATATATATATATATTTTAGTACTTGTAATAATGTTAGATTGTTAGTTTATTAATCAATTGAAAACAAAAGTATATTTTCATTTAAGCAGTATAATATATAGCATATTACAACCAAACTATTATTCTAATCTAACTAACTTATTGTAAGCATAAAAGTCTTTAAGTTTGATCTTGAAAATAATATTTTACTTCATAGTATCTTTGGATAAAGACTTATCTAATCTGCTGCATCATTGCCAACAAATTATTATTGTTGTATA